CCGCCTTCGGCCTCGGCTCTGAGAAACGCGGGGGGATCAGGGCCAGAACCCCCAACCCACACGGGGTACCAGCCCCCAGACACCCCAGTGCTACCGGCTCAATCCCTCCCGTAGAGGACACGACGGGGGAAAAAACAAACCCAACCAAAACCCCCATCAAAACACTTAATAGAGCGTAATTCAGTGATTTTACTAGTCATTTTCCCTGATTTCTTTAGCGTTGTAACTTCGCGGTCTCCTGGCTGAAGTAACACTCCACAGGGGACAGGCGGGTGTGGGTTCTGAGGGGAGGGGTGAAAGGTGCCTGGGCTCCCTGGGAGACTCGAGTACACCAATTACAGAACTTCTCTGCTTATTTCCTTTCCCAAAAGCTCCCCTGCTTACCACATTGTTTGGAAAATCTAGAAATTCTGTCAGCTGTGTGAAGACAGAGGTGCCTTCAGCCTCGCTCCGCAGGGATGACACCGGGGGGCGCGGCCGCGGGAGGAGCCCGGGGGGCGGCTCCGCCTTCGGCCTCGGCTCTGAGAAACGCGGGGGGATCAGGGCCAGAACCCCCAACCCACACGGGGTACCAGCCCCCAGACACCCCAGTGCTACCGGCTCAATCCCTCCCGTAGAGGACACGACGGGGGAAAAAACAAACCCAACCAAAACCCCCATCAAAACACTTAATAGAGCGTAATTCAGAGATTTTACTAGTCATTTTCCCTGATTTCTTTAGCGTTGTAACTTCGCGGTCTCCTGGCTGAAGTAACACCCCACAGGGGACAGGCGGGTGTGGGTTCTGAGGGGAGGGGTGAAAGGTGCTGGGCTCCCTGGGAGGAACTCGAGTACCAATTACAGAACTTCTCTGCTTATTTCCTTTCCCAAAAGCTCCCCTGCTTACCACATTGTTTGGAAAATCTAGAAATTCTGTCAGCTGTGTGAAGACAGAGGTGCCTTCAGCCTCGCTCCGCAGGGATGACACCCCCCCGAGGCCAGGCAGCGCTCCCAAGCCCCGCTGCCCTCCCTCCACACGACCTTCCTGCTGCGTCGAGACTGCATCACCCTTAGACCTCACTTTGATTTGCTGATAGCTTACCTACAGAACTAGGCTAAAGCTACCGTTTTTAATTTCTGCTCGATGCTCGTTGTGCCAGGATGCCTTGCAAAGCACGACATGTATCTGAGGGGTCGGAGGAATGTTTTATCTGCCTCAGCTATAGGTAAAGACGATCTTTGCCTACCAGAGCAGCGACAGCAGAGCCTCTCTCGCGCTGTGTACAGCCCCCAGCGACCAGCCACGTTCAGGCCTCTCAGACACGAGGGGAAGGGCGAGCAGATGCTGCACACAACCAGAACACGCACACCCGCAAGCAGGATGTTGCGGACACGCCATGGCCCAGGCTCGACTCAGAGGATGCGGGGCCTCCCGCCCCGCAGGCCCCGCTC